GATATGATACATTGTTAGATGGGAATAATAAGATGAAATCAAGAGAGGTGTTATCAGTACTTTATAAGATTGAGCTGTCATGGTGGGAAGTATCACAATTGCAGTCCAGGTACGCTAAGGATGAGAAAAGGGGGTTTGAAGATGGTAAATCGCAGCTGGATAAAATATGGGCATCGAGCAGTGATAAAATGATACAGAGGATAAACAAATTCTTGCTAGAAGAACGGGCAAAGGAGGAAACAGTTAATAAGACACAGGTTGCATGGGAAAAGGATGTAGGACATGTATAAAAAACTGGGAGAAAACCTGGAAATCTATAAAATTTATGAGAAGTGTTAACTATAGAGAAAATATATATAAATTATACCATAGATGGTACTGGTCACCGGACAGGATAGCTAAATGTAATCCTATGATCAGTAAGAACTGCTGGAAATGTAAAAGTAATGTGGGCATGTTTTTCCATATGTGGTGGAGTTGTGTAAAGTTGCGTGGTTATTGGAAAATGGTGCAGAAGGTAATCTTAGAAATAACTGAGACTGAAATAGAGCTATCTCCGGAAACGGTGCTGCTGAACATGCTGCCAGAGAGTTTTAGATGGAAAGATAAGTACCTGATAATTTATATATTAACATCTGCAAGGATTTTAATAGCCAAATATTGGAAACAAGAATATATACCAAATCAAGAGGACCTAACACATAGGTTGTTAGAGGTGGCAGAGATGGATAAATTAAGTCTAATTCTTCAAGGACAAAAGGAAAGAGTATTTATGGAAAGATGGAAGCGTCTGTATAATTGGATTAATATAGATGTATAGTAAAAGACTCCATAATCGATGTAGACAAATTATGTATCATGGAATGATGTTTTGTTTTTATTAAGAAAAGGAAAAATAATATATATATATATAAAAAAGGAAAGTGGTGTGGATTTCAGAGTCTGGGGGTGACCCCACAAGAGATGGCTGATGGACCAAGGCAGCTCAATGGGGTTACAGGTGAGGACATAAAGGGGCCAAAGATCGATGGTCATCTTGCATGGCTTTTCCCTTCTCCATTTGCCTGGAGGAGTCAAGTCCTCAGGATGGTCTACTGATCTGGGACCTGGGCCAGAAGGGTAAATTCCACCTCCCTAGACAGGACAGAGGCACCACCAGCAGAGTCAATGGCAGAAGGAGGAGGAGGAGGAGACCTCACCTACAGTATTGTGTTCAGTTTTGGGCACCACAATTTAAGAAGGATATAGACAACTGGAACATGTCCAAGGGAGGGGAACAAAGATGGTGAGGGGTCTGGAGACCAAGTGCTATGAGGAAAGGTTGAAGGAGCTGGGTATGTTTAGCCTGGAGAGAAGATGACTGATAGGTGATGGGATAACCATCTTCAGGTACTTGAAGGGCTGTCATATAGGAGATGGTGGGAGTTGTTTCCTGTTGCCCCAGAAGGTCGGACCAGAGCCAACGGGTTGAAATTACATCAGAAGAGTTTTCGGCTAAACATTAGGAAGAACTTCCTGATAGAGCATTAGTTCTTGTGGCCCTTTCTGACACGCCCAGGGAAATGCCGATCACCACTTTGGGGTCAGGAAGCAATTTTTTCCAGGCCAGTTTGGCTGAGGATCCTGGAGGTTTTTTGTCATTTTCTGGGTGTAGAACAGGGGTCACTGGGAGTGTGGGGGGTAGATATTTGTGAATTTCCTGCATTGTGCAGGGGGTTGGACTAGATGACACTGGAGGTCCCTTCCAACTCTATGATTCTAGGAAAAAGGAGGAGATTGGATTTATACCCCACCCTTCACTTGGAGTCTCAGAGTGGCTTACAATCTCCCTCTCTCCACGACAGATACCCTGTGAGGTAGGTGGGGCTGAGAGAGCTCTTTTGAAGACTGTTCTTGAGAGAACAGCTGTGAGAGAACTTGTGACTGACCCAAGGTCACCCAACTGGCTACATGTAGAGAAGTGGGGAATCAAAACCAGTCCTCCCAGATTAGAGTCTGCCGCTCTTTAACCACTACATCAAACTTGACATCCTCTCTTTGCTTTATGTTATCCGCAGCATAGTTGCTAGCCAGGCTATCCTGAGCTATGCTGGACCTACCTGAAGAGCAGAGGAATGCATTGTGGGTCTCTTCCTTGAGGACGCCTTCTGGCTGTGGGAGGAAAAAGAAGTTGTGAGTTCTGTCTTGTCTCCTCTGTGTGGAATGGATGCCACAGAGGTACCTCCTGCCACACTCTCTTCTTTTCCCCTCCAACCCCATCCCTTGGAATTGCTTCATTTGGGCTCCCTGGCCACAGCCCACAAAACATGGCGGCTCCCTGCCCAAATGCTCAGGCACTGAGAGGAGGAGGAGATTGGGTGTATAGCCCGCCCTTCACTCGGAGTCTCAGAGTGGCTTACAAATGCCTTTCCTTTCCCCTCCCCACAACAGACACCCTGCGAGCTAGGTGGGGCTAAGAGAGCTCTGAGAGAAACTGCTTTTGAGAGAACAGCTCTGACAGAACTACGACTTGCCCAAGGGTCATCCAGCAGCTGTGAGTGGAGGAGTGGGGAATCAAGCCCGATTCTCCCAGATTAGAGTCCGCGCTCTTAACCACTGCACCAAACTTGCGGGAGGGCCGGGAATGGCTACTGGGGCTTGACAGCTGCCAGCCACGGTTCCAAACTCCTGAGGTGGCCACACTGACCTTGACCAGCAGGGGCTTGATCACGGTGTCGGAGCAGCCACGTGGGGGCGTCATGGAGATTTTGTTGCCGCACAGCTCCTGTGTCTCCTGAGCCTCAGTGGTTACGGAGAAGTTGACGTGTCCTGCAGGAATGGGGAAATCAGGCGGGCTTCACTGAACATCAGACTCTCAACCGAGAACTCGAAGTGCACATGCGCAGGTACGCAGGGAACGGTGTAATTGCTCATGTTTGACCATAGGGGGTTTGGACTCCCCCTCTAGCACTACTACTGCCACCAAGCCTCACACCCCGTGCCACTGTTCTGCGGAACCTGGAGGAGTGTTCCCTGTCACCCCTCCTCCCCAACTTGACTGGGAAGCAAACAACCCACCTTCCCCTCCTGCCTCCACGACGGTCCTGCTCCCAGAATGGACGTTTGGGGAAGCAAGGGGCAGAGATCACAGGGCTCCCCACCCCGCTGCCCCACTGCTCCCAAGGGTCTGGGGCTCACCCAGCTGCGTCGCCGTCATGTTCCAATCACGGTGTCGGAGCAGCCACGTGGGGGCGTCATGGAGATTTTGTTGCCGCACAGCTCCTGTGTCTCCTGAGCCTCAGTGGTTACGGAGAAGTTGACGTGTCCTGCAGGAATGGGGAAATCAGGCGGGCTTCACTGAACATCAGACTCTCAACCGAGAACTCGAAGTGCACATGCGCAGGTACGCAGGGAACGGTGTAATTGCTCATGTTTGACCATAGGGGGTTTGGACTCCCCCTCTAGCACTACTACTGCCACCAAGCCTCACACCCCGTGCCACTGTTCTGCGGAACCTGGAGGAGTGTTCCCTGTCACCCCTCCTCCCCAACTTGACTGGGAAGCAAACAACCCACCTTCCCCTCCTGCCTCCACGACGGTCCTGCTCCCAGAATGGACGTTTGGGGAAGCAAGGGGCAGAGATCACAGGGCTCCCCACCCCGCTGCCCCACTGCTCCCAAGGGTCTGGGGCTCACCCAGCTGCGTCGCCGTCATGTTCCAAGCGAAGGTCTGAGCCTCCTCTGAGCAGAGGCAGACGGTGAAGGGGCAGGTCGGGCAGGGCTTCACCTCGACTTGCTGCGATTCCGCCAGGCGGACGTTCACCTGGAGGCAGGGAAGAGGCCGTTCTGAGGAGGAGGCAGGGCAAGA